CAAATGAGCAGATTCCAAAGAGCAAAGAGGCACTGTGCCCTACCCAGTCCTGGGCTGGGCTCCCCTGTCACACTCCGGCGCCAGCGCTGGGTCCACCCTCTGTCTTTCCCCGCCTGGAGGGACTCTCTGGCTGTCCAAGTGATTTACTCTGGAAGAGTTGGGAGAGTTCTCCTTTCCTTTGCTGTCCTCGCTCCCCTGCACCACGCGGGCAGGCGCGCGGCCGCACACACACGCGCACACACACACACACACACACACACACACACACACACACACACCTCGTGGTTCTTCGCAAGGGTTTCCCTCCGGGGCAGATTACTTTATGACAGGGTGTGATAAGTGGTGATTTTGTTCCTCTTTTGATGGCAGGATTGCTTTGTAAACAGAAGCGCAAACTCGTTCCGATAGTGGTTCCGCACCAGTGAGCGGCGGCCGCCCTGGCACAGCGGGCGGCGGAGGCTGCGGCTGCACCTGTCGCCTGGGGCCTGGAGGAACCCGGGCCACGCGTGGAGGGGTCACGGTCCTGTGGCCTCCAGGGAGTCTCTAAGTCTTTGGCCTCTGGGCCTTCAGTCTTTCTGCACCCCTCGGGCCTCGGTACCCCGCTACTCCAAGAACTCCCAGCTAAAGTGCATGGGGAGGCGCCCAGGTGAGCGTAGCTCAGAGGGGCCCTGCCTCCCTTCTGCACTCTCCCGAGGCGCCTTCCGTAAGAGGTTAGGTTCTTCTATGGTTATGGGTTACCCTCTTCCTTTGCCCTAACCCAGTGGGAGAGTGGAGAGGGCTTTTGTGTGCTGAAGGAATCCCTGGAGGGTTTCCCGGCAGGGCAATCACCGCTCCTTTTCCCCTGAGTTGTCACACCTTCTGCCTTCCCTGCTCTGGTCCTGGGGGCCAGTTTACTGCTCAGAGGGGCCCAAGAATGACCCAAAGTTGACAGGCTGTGTCAGGCCCAAGGGCCAGAAAGAGGAGCTCCTGCAGGGGGAGAGGCGCCAGGCACAATGAGCAGTCACTCAAACTGTCCCAGGAATCCCGGACTCCTCTAAGGGAAAAAAAGCAAGGCGAGGCCACCACAGGTGTGAAATTCTGAATTAACCCATTGCTCAGATTTAAGTTTAAATTTCCAAGCGCCTTAAATATCCTCCAATGGTGGAGTGGAGGGGAATGCTGGGGGGTGGCACTTGATGGTGAGTGAAAAAAAAGAAAGTGATGTAAGAGTCCTGAAAGTTCTGGGGTGGGGAGGAATGTGGTTCAAGCAGAGCTTTACCCTAAGGGAAAGATCATTCCTGCTGCAACTTTGGGACTCATGGAGCTGGGAGGCAGGTTACAGGATGCGAATAGATTCCACCTGGTTCTCCCCAGACACCAGGGGCCTCGGAGAGCCTGGCTGAGCATTACCTGAAACTGGGAGGTTGGCACCATCTGACACCAAGTCTTGCAGCCCATTCCTGCAGCTCGTCACCTGCATTGAGCTGCCCAGAGAAACGCTGGCGGTAGGGTTGGGAGTCCCAGGACCTGTTAGCTGCAGAACCTGCTTTAGGGTGGGAGAGGTGGGAGAGGAGAGGAGGTCCCTTCCCTTAACCCAGTAAGGAAAAAAAAAATCCCACTTTTCTCTAGTTCGCTGGAGGTTTGAGGCCACAGTTCCAGAGACCGCTAGGTGCTGAGGCTGGTTCCCAAGGGCAGTTAGTGGCCTTGGAACTGCCCTGGTACTGGGTGCAGCTGAGACACTAGGGTGGCTGACCCGAGCCTGGGTGCGAGGTGAAGCTGGGAGGGGTCACCCCTGCCCACCCCTCCAGGGCTCTTTCTGGAAGCCGAAGCAGGCTGGTGCTGAGCCAGGGAGGAGGTCGAAAGGCCGGGAGGTGAGAATTGGGCATCAGGGGAGCAAGGGAGGGGGCGCCCACCTCTGGGGAAGAGGAGGGTTGTAAGGCGGGAGTCCCCGGAGGTGCAGTGGACCCGGTGTCTGCGGAGTGTGCCCAAGGAAGGAGCGATGGAGTTGACCGCATCTCGAATTGAGCCCGTCTTGGGTACCCTGAGGGGGGGGGGACATGGGGTGCAGGAGCCGGTCGGCCACCGGCCTCGGGGTGTCTAGCGCACCTTCCTCTAGGGCCTCAAAACAAATCCCCCATTTTACAAATGAGTAAAAATGGGGCTTCAAACGAGCTCAGGTGCCTCAGCCTGTAAATATAAATGACTGAGCTGAGTTTGGACCCCAAGTGGTCGTACCCCAGAGCTCCAGACCAGCTCGCCGCTGCTCCCGGACTCCTGCTTCTCTGCCCTCCGGGCACCCGGACCCCAGCCCCAGTCTCCTGGGCAGAGGCCCTCGTGCCTGCCCAAGGCCTGGGCTGCTTCGCTCCCAAGCCTTCCCGTCCTGGCCATCCCACCCAGCGCAGCCGCGGGGCCCGCTTTGCCTTCTCCTTCCCGCGCACGCCCTGCCCCCCCCGACCCCCCCCCAAAAAAAGTACCAAAGTCGGAGATAGCACCTGGCCGGAGTCCGCGCCCCGCCCAGCCCTCGCCTAGGCCGCCGGTCCTTCGTGGGCTCGGCCTGGCCCAGCCCGCCGGCCCCGGGTCCCTGCAGCCCTGGCTCCACCGGGGCGCGCGAGCGACCCCAGCTCCTTTTTAAAAGAGCACAGCGCCCCCCGCCGGCATCTCCAAGACGCCTCGGTCTTGGGACCTAGAAGAATTCGATTTTCACCATCCCACTTGGACAGCGTGGAGAAAGTCGGCGAAGTGGAGTGGAGACACTACGGTTTAAAAACGCTGTAATTTTCATTACTCAAAATTCTCGCAAGACAAAAAAAAAAAAGAAAGAAGGAAAGAAAAAGAAAAAGAGCACACCCACAGACAAAACCCCAAACTCGTGGAGCAAGGTTCCAAGGCAGGTCCAAGAAAGTTTCAAATCCACAAGAGAATGGACACCGTGAGGGAAGTCCCGCAGCCCAGGGAGGACTTTAAATGCCCAGACGACACGGGGACTCCTTGAGTGTCCCCCAACCGCACCATCGCTGCGCAGATGCCGGGAGGGTGCGGGGCCGGAGGGGTCGTCCACCAGGGATGGGGGCTCGAGCGCCGGGTTAGAACCGGACCGATGTGGAATGGGACGAGTCTTGATACCTCAGCTTCGGAGCTGACCTTTTACGCATTTTCCCTGACGTGTCCTAGACGACTGGAAGCCGGGTCTTTGTTCGTGTTAGTCCTCGCGACGGCAGCCAGGGAGGGTAACCCGGGCCTGTCCCAGGAGTTACAGGCCCAAGCCCTGGATCCCCGGATCTGGTAGCTGCGGGAATGGGGCTGGCACGGTCGCCGAGGAGCGCGGCCCGAGGCTAAGCTGCTCACCTGGGCCTCCCTCCCGACCAGGTGTGGTTCCTGCCGGGGAGGTGAGCTCCTCGGGAGCCCCAAATCCTGTGGCTTCTTTTAAATCTCCCTTCTAATTAGAAGCAGCGGTGAAATCACTTGAGTGATTTTATCTGTCATGGGAAAGCAAACCCCAGCCCGAACCTCGGTTGCCCATCCCAGAACCACCAACGCCCCCATTCTCCCTTAAAAAGTTGTTATTGGAAAAGATAAATATAAAGCTGGGAAGCCAGAGAGGAGTGGGGGAGGGGCTCACCTTAAATAGAAGTGTAAGTGTATGAGTGTGCAAGAGTGTGTGTGTATGTGTGTGCGCGCGGTGGGAGGAGACTAAAAACCTAGAAGCCAGAAATGGAAACAGAATCGCGAACGTTTTCACCTACTGAGAAACACTTTGGTCTGGGCTCGGACGCTGAAGCAGCCCTGGGGGTTGCAGACTCGGATCCGCGGGGGCCGGGGTGTCCTGAACCCCGTGGGCCAGTGGGGAGGCCAGGACCACGACCTGGCCCTACCGCCTGCGTCCAGGTGTGCGGGACCTACGGGGTCGGGCCCAATCTCCCGGCCCTGCTCTCTTCCCCCACCCCACCCCACCCCCACCCCCGCCCCGTCCCGTCCTCCCCACCTCGGGGTGGAGACTCTCCCAGCCCCAAAGTTGCGAGGAGGGAGGAGAGTCTAGGGCAGAGCGCCTAGATGCCCCCATTGCTCGAGTGAGAAAATACACCCACTCACACTCGCATCGCGCCCTGCACACCCCGGCAGGCCGTCTGCCTCTGTTCTCCGCTCAGGGACTGACCGGGAAAGCGGGTTGGGGCTGTTGGGAACCGCCGGAGCTGATGGCGAGATTGCCGCGGCTATAAATCCATCACTTCCCAGGTCAGCTCCGCGAGGCGCTGGGACTAGGGCTGGCGGAGTGAATTCCTGGGCCAGCGCGCATGCGTCGGCAGGTAGCAACCCAGCTCTTTATGACCAGGTGAGATGTTGGTGAGCAGGTAAAAAAGGAGGATTTGCCTAAGCGATTCCAGGGAGCGGGCCCGGCCGAGCCCTACAGCCCATGCCCGGCGGGGACCCGTCGCCAGGAGCGCCGAGCAGCGATGTCCATACTTGCCAAAATGGGGGACTGGCAGGTACGGGGGGTTTGCCTCGGCTGGGGTGAAGTGGGCGGGGGTGGAGCGGGGGAGGGGGCCGGGAGGGGGAGGCGGAGAGGGAGAGCCTTGGCCCAGGGCAGGAGAGTCGTAAGCGAGGCGCGCCTGGCAGCGCCCGGGAGTGTTCCCCGGGGAGGAGGAGGGCAGGGACAGCCCGCGCGGCCCGCGGCCCGGAGCTGGGGAAGGCCGGCGCACGCTCCACAGGTGGCCCCGGGGGTCACCTGCGGTTGGCGCTGCGGCCCTTCCCGTCCCCCCGCCCCCAGTAGAAAGCGGGGTGGATGACTAATGCGGGAGGGGGAAGGGCGCGGGGCGGGGGTTGCGGGGCGCTGGGCTCCGCTCCGCACGCCTCGGTTCTGGCCCTCGACCCCGGGGCGACGCAGGGGGTGGGCTTCTGGTGCACCTGTCTCCCTCGCCGTCTCCAAGGTTTGGAGACCTGCTGGGGCGTGGAGAACGGAAAGGGGTCCGGATGGACGGGTCGCGCCCGCGCGCGCGAGGATGTTCTCTGGGGGACATACTTACAGGAGTTTGCACAAAGTTTAGCGTCTCGCTCGGTCCGCGCGAGTCGTGAAGCCAGTTTTCGCCGCTTGGGCTATAGGTTGGGGTGACTGGATGAGGGGTGAACGGCGGGTTGGTAGGGCAGGTCCGAAATTCGCCGAAACCGACGTCTGCCCAACTGGGCCTTGCTTAGGCCGCGGGTACCACAAGGCCAACTGGGCCCTTGATCCTGCCTTCCTGGAGTCCTGACCCCACCCGGGCCCCGGGAGCATTCTCCTGGCCCTCTCCTAGCTTCCAGACATTTTCCCTGCGGAAACCAGGGAAGCTCTGGCAAGGCCGGTGAGGGGAAGAGCCTCTCCTCGGTGGCTGATTTTATAATGGGAATGGCGGGGGCCCTCTTCCCCCCCCCCACCCCTGGCCAAGTGAGGCCTGGTTAGGGTGAGATTCTGTGAGCCTAAAAGCCTGCAGGGCGATTTGAACTGAATTCGGGGAGAAGTTGAGGCTCTGCTCTTTCTGGGTGGGGGTTCTTTTTCTTGTGTCTTGTGCCATTAGAAGTAAAGTTCCGAGAAGGCTGGTCTTCACTACATTCTTTGGAGTCGGGGAAAGGAAATCATCTTGCAGTTTTTATTTCTCTCCTTGTATTTATTATTTTTATTAGCCCTAAAGTTCTTTTATACCTCTCCTCCCGGTGAAACCTCACTAAAATACAACTTCATCCCCAAAGTCTGAGTGACTTTGTGGTTTAAGGATGCAGATCCCACACCAAACACAGATGTCGGGGATCTGTACCTTTCCCCTCCACGGCCCTGGTCGGCCTCAGGGCCCTTCTCCCCTCTGGTCTCTGGAAAGTGTAGACTGGGGAAGTTCTTTGGCTTAGATCTTTGCAGTTATCTCCACAAACTGAGTGGACCTCGCGGCAGAACTCCTTGGGTCTGAGAAGGCACCAGCAGCACAGGATCGTACTGGGTCTGAGCCTCCCAAGGGCCTACAGGTGGGAAGCAGTGAGATTCTGGCCCAAGGGGGAAAGGAGTGAACCCTGGGCCTGGCTCCTGAGGGCTCACAGTTTGGCAAGCGGTGGGAAGCCTGCCTCTCGGGTGGGGCATGTGAATTTGGGGCCTAGAGGGACTGGATCCTTCAGGCTTGGCCTGTGGGGCTCTTGGGTCCCACTGAGTGGTGACAACCAGAGAAAATAGTCATTCAGGCCTCTTACTGTCTCTTTGTTTCTCTCTGTGTCTCTGTCTCACACTGATACACATTTTTCCCTCCAACACCCTCTCCACGCCCCCACTTCAGGCCTGGACCCCCAACCTCTATCCCTAGGCCTGGCGCTACCGTCCTGGGGTGCTGGTGGGGACAGAGCATTGACATGCAATGAAGAGACTTGTCGTGGTAATGACGTTCCCAGAAACGCAGCCTGGCTGGCTCTGGGGTCTGCTCGCCTGGGCCTTTCTTCAATGCCCAGAATTCTGGACTGTGGTGCAGAGCCCGCAGGCCGCAATCTGCACCTCAAAGGCACCCTCGGCAGGAATACAACAACAGTTTAGCGGCCCTGGTGGTTGCGGAGCCAGAAATCTGCAGGGCGCTGGTCAGCAAGGGGGATGGGGGTGGGTGGAGAAGATGATGAGCCTTGAATGCCTTTCCCAGCCCACAAGCTGAAAGAAAGCGAAACTTGAAGTTCCCTTAAGCATACTGTGGCGACGTCTGAGGGTGCAAAAATCCCATGCTCCCAGGCCTGGGATTTGGCCTACAGATCACGCTCTGTGGCTGTGGCCGCTGGTTGCGAAGGTGTAAATGCTCGCGGCGGCCCATCTCCCGACTTCAAGCCACTGTGTTGGGCGGCGGGCCCCGGGGCTGCCCTTCAGGGTGAGTGGTGAGAGCACTGGAAGTTGACTGTTTTCCGGGTCGAGCGGGGTGCCTGACCCCGGGGCTGTGTTCAGCCAAAGAACTGTGTTAGTGTTCAGGTGGGGAAAAGGAGTGTAGGGAGTGCCCCAGGGAGGGTGTCCCTTATGCTCTAAGTCCCCCTTCTAGCTCCAGTCCTTTTCCTAACTCTTGGGAGGCCTCTGGCCTACTCTGCCTGGCTGGGAGAATTTGCTGTGGTCGTCCGGAAGGAGAATTGCCCTTCTGCAAATGGGGGGTGAGTGGGGGGTGAGGGAAGGTGGTCCTCCCTCATCTTGCCTTCCGTCCACCTGTTAAGAAATGCTCGGGTTTGCAACAGCCTTTACCCTTCTGCAGGGACACGCTATGGAGACCTGGGAGGCCTGGAGATTTGGGGAAAAAAAAAAAAAAACAGGCCTAGATGGAACCAGAAGTTGTTACCAGAGCAGCTCTGAGGCAGACCCACGTTGGTGCATTTGCAGTATTCAGGAGGGAGAAAGCCACACAAAAACTTTTTTACGGAGGACAAATGAGCAGCTCAGCCAGATAAATTAATTACTCTGTATTTCAAAGGATTACACCTCGTCTTTCTTTATAATTTCTTCTTTAAAACAATTCACTAAAAGCAGAAGGAAAAAAATATATATATCAATCCCCGCTGGGGCGAGCAGGTCCCTGCGTGGAGCGGAAAAGCCTGGACTGGCCAATCTGGACTAGGAGGTGGCCCCGGGGCCTCCGGTTCCGCCTCAGCCGGGCACTGCGCCGCCAGCGCGCCTGCTTTAGTAACATCACCAAATCATGAAGGAACTCTCCCTGCTTTAATTAAAAAGGGGGATCTTGGGAAAACTGGAGCAGATTAGCGCAGCGAAGAGTTGGTTCCCAGCGATTTATTTTGATGCATGCATGACACGGAGCACACATGTCGGTTATTTCGGCACAACTCCAGGAGCGGCTGTGAGTCTCCACAGTTCTGTATTTTGTCCACACCGCACCTAGGAAACCCTTTGCCCAAACACCACGTTGAATTATCAGTCAGCCCTAGCTTCATACAAACGAGAGGAAAATCACTTAACCCCTGGAGCTGTCAACTAACCTCTTTAGGGTACAATTTTTATTTTACACGCGGCCAATTAAAGGATCGCAAACCCCAGCCGAGCGACTGGAGCCGTTTGGCAAAATCTTCAACCTGGGGTGGGGGGCAGTGGGGTGGGGGTGGGGGTTAGGAAGAGCAAAGCCAATAAAACTCCCAAGGCGCTGCGGCCCGAGGTGGTGGCTGCAGCGAGCGGAGGCGATCTCTTGTTGGGCAAAAATCCTGGAGTGACTTTGCCGGTCTCGGTTTGATGATTATATTTAATTGCGAAAGGGATAATAATTTCTAATAAAATTGGACGGGGCCGAAAGGACAGCGCGGTTAGCGCGGGCAGGGGTGAGGGAGAGGTGCTGAAAGGCGGGCCCCAGGCGCAGCGGCGCGGACCCTGCACAGCGCCGGGTTCTTGCGGACGGCATCTCCCTGGAGGAGGAGACGGAGGGGGAGAGGACTGGGGTGGAATGGTGCGGCGGCGGGGACCGGGGGTGGCCGGGGCCGGGGCGCACGGCAGGTCTCAGGGGAGATTTCGTCGGCTCGCAGGCAGGCGTGCGCTCTAGGAGCAAGTTCGCGGCTCGGAGAGGCCTTTATACCTGGGTCGGAGCGGCCGGCCGCAGATTGCGGTGCTGGCGAGCAATTGGACTATTGTTGATATGCTAATGAGGCGATTAGGCTGTTGGTAAAGAGCTGGAAAAGGGAAAAGTTTCTACCATTAGAGGGAGATCTCCGAGCGCACACAGGAGCTCTTTCCCTTCTCGCCTCCTCCTCCTCACCCTCCTCCTCCTCGCCCTCCTCCTCCTCCTTTTTGCCCTCCTCCTCCTCCTCCTCCTCGCCCTCCTCCTCCTCCTCCTCCTCGCCCCTCCTCCTCCTCCTCCTCCTCCTGCGCTCACCGCCGGCAGCCCGCACTTTGCGCTTACCCAGAGAGTAGCTCCACTTGGGTGCGAGGCGGAGAAGGGGGCAAATCCGTTCACGCCGATCCATGAAAATGCTTTGGAAACTGACGGATAATATCAAGTACGAGGACTGCGAGGTAAGCGCGGCGCTGGCTCTCTCTGCGGCCGCAGGCTCCGAGCTCTGCTTTCCCGCTCCTCCTCCTCCTCCGCTCGCAGCCAGCTGCGAAATGCGGGTGGGACAAACTTTCCCCAGCGCAGCGCCCGCCTCTCCAATTTGCCCGAAGAACGCAGGGGAGAAGCTGGAGAGGAAGGATGTGGACGCTGTCTTCCTTCATTTCTCTCCTTCGAAGCTCGTGTCCCACTCCCCCCCTTTTTTTTCTGGCCAGTTTGGGGGTCTGCCTAAGAGTGAAGCGAAGACACGAGCATGGGGTTTGGAAGCAGTTGCTGGCAATTGGGCACGCGTCTATGCACCCTGCGTGTCTCTCCAGCGAGACTGGGGGGGGGGCGAATCACCAGGAAGAGAAAGCAAAAAGAAGACCCCCTTTTTTTTCCCCCGTAACTTCCGATCTTTACTATTCTTCATTTATTCATTCTTTCCTTTCTATCGTCCCCCTCCCCTCTTCCTAAAAAGGGAGGCTCTTTTCCGTTTGGAGAAGCCCCCCCCCCCCCCCGCACACTTCAGTCTGAGCTGGGTCGCACCTCCCAGTGTTCGGGTTCAGTTTGGAGGCACCCCTCTCCCAAATTGCTGCGGGGCTCGCTCTGTGCTACTGAACAAGTTCTGAGCAGCGTCTCCCTCTGAGGGACACTCTGAGAGCATCCCCCTGGAGCGGAGGTGGGAGGGCTGCACCGCGTGGAGCCGCCTGGCCGCCGGGTCCCCGGGCTTCAGCCCCTGCAGGCGCCCGGCGGTCAGCTGCGTGACCGTGGGAATCCTGGCCGGGCTGCACACGACCTCGGGCGCGCGGATGGAGCGCGCCTCGTTGGAGCCCATTTGCAAACCCGGGGTCTCCGGAGCCCGGCTTCTCGGGGGCACGCCGGGGAAGCCCCAGCACCGCCGGCCCGCCCGCGGGAGGCGCTGGGAGCCGGCCTGGCCGCCGCGGCCCCGGGCTCCCTCGCAGCCCCTGCTGAAATGAGCGGCGGAGTCACGGGAGGGGGAGGGGGCCCGCGGCCGAGGGTTACCTACATAGGTGGTAGTCCCGGCTTTCGCTATTTTTTTTTCTTTTTCCGTTCTTTTCTTTCAATTTGGCCTTTGGAGCTGGCAATGTGTGGAGCAGAGGTCTGCGCGGGCGCAGCAGCGTGGGTCTTGTCTTCACTTGAAATCAGAACCCGGGTTTGTGCGCACGATGTGTCCCCGGTTCCCTGCCCCCTCTCCTCTCCGCCGCCTATTTTAAATCTTTCTCCTTTCCCGGGCTCTTCCTTTCCGCCCTCCCCTCACCCCAAGGGGCACGGGGTGACACCCCGCGGGGACCGACGCTGCCCTGGGGGCTCCTCCCGCGCGCGCGGTGCGGGGCGCAGGGACCCCAGGGCGCACCAGCCGCTTTGTTTTGAGGCCCGTGGCGGGGGTGAGGGGTAAGGGGTGGGGGGTGGGGAAGGAGGGCTCTGCGAACCGGTCCGGGGGAGCTCCTCAGTCTCCGAGGGCGCACTGTCCCCGCCCGCGCTGTGGCCCGAGGCTCGGGCACGTCACCCTCGCGGAGGCTGGAACCCAGCTGCGGGCGCCGAGCCCTGGGCGGGCGGGGTCCCGACCTCCGCGCGGCTCGGGGCGCCTAGGAGACCTAGGTGGGAGGTGAAGAACTCGAGGGGCCCTGTGGGGGCGCGTGTGAATGTGTGTGTAAGTGAGGCGGAGAGAGGGAACAGAGGGAGGGCAGTTTCAACAACTTTGCGGCGGGCGAGCGCCGGAGCAGGGATTTCGGGTTTCCGAGCCGGCTCGGGGCTGTCCAATTACGCCGGGGCTCTGCAGGGACACGCAGGAGGCGAGGTGCCGCTTGTCCTGACAACCCAGCGGGCGGACCGGCAGCGGCGGCGGCCCAGCGGCGCAGGGAGAGAGCGAGCCGTGTCACGGGGGTGGGTGGGGGGTGGGGGGGCGTCTGGCGGGAGTGGCCCAGCCAGTCGGACGGGTTTGCGCCGGGAGCCGGGAGCCCGTGCCAGCGGCGCCCGGGCTGGGCCGCCGAGCGTCTCCGCTCGCCCCGGGCCGCGTCCCGGCTCCCCCTCCCCGAGCCCCTGCCCCCGAGAGCCGAGGGCGGGGCCGCAGCTGCGGCGGAGCGGACGGCCCCGGCGGTCCGGGGTTGGAGGGGGCGGGGGGGGCGCGCCGGCGGGTCCCGGGCGGGGCGCCGGGCCATGGAGGAGCGGCGCGGCGGCGGGCAGCCGAACCCCGAGCCCCAGGCCCGGCTGCGCAGCGCAGGAGCCCGCGGCCGCAGCCGGCAGGGCAGCACCGCCCGCGCCGAGAGCCTGATGAATGCCCGGACGCGGGCCCCGGCAGCTCCTGCGCGCGACGCGCGGCCCCCACGGCATCCCGAGGTCTGCCCCAGCCTTTTAGGTCTGATTGTCCTCGCTCGCTTCCTCTCCCCCTCCCCCTCCCCTCCCCCGCGGCCTCCCCCCTGCGTGCGCTCCGGCTCGGCCCCCTCCCCCTCCCTCCTCCCTCCCTCTTTCCCTCCCTTCCTCCTCCCGGGCTCTCCCTCCTTCCCTCCCTCCCCTCTCCCCACTCCGGGCTCCTCTCTCTCACCCACACTTTCTTTCTCACACGCGCACGCACACACATTCTCCCTCTCTGCGCTCTCTCCCTCGGTTTCCCTCTCTCCCTCTTTCTCTTTCACTTTTGCATGCCCTGCAACCTTTTAAAATGTTGCCCCTTCCCTGTGATTCGCCAGACGCCGCGCCGCGGCCCCCCGCGCGCTCGCCCGCTCCCTCTCTCGCCCGCTTTTTGTCTCTCGCGCTCCCTCTCCCCACCTCCGATTTGCTACACTGAGGCTCCCGTCAATGGACTGCATTGAGAGCCGGCTCCGGCGCGAGTTGCCTCTCCGCTTCACGCTCGATTTCCAGGCATTCTTCCCTTATTAAGTATTCGTGTAATATTAATAGTCATGAATATCTGCTATTAGGAGGCTCCAGGAACGCTGCCCAGCGCGGTTATTAGAAGCTCAAGCGAAGCCGCCGCTAAGAAAAGAGGGGAGACACGGAATAAGGAACACGCGCGCGCGCACACACAGACACACACACACTTTTTTTTTCTTTTTTCCTTTTTTTTGGGGGGGGGGTCTTTTTTTTTTTTTTTAAGGAACTTTGAATCCTAAGCCACCGCGGCAGGATAGAGACCGTGGGTTCGACCAGCTGAAGGCGCCGCTCGAATCGGTGGTCAAGTTCGGATGGACCAGAGCGGGGCTCCAGCGCTCGGGGGAGCGTCTGCGCCGTGACCGGAGTCCTGGGTGGCGCGGGGCTCTCGGCGCCTTTTGTGTGGGGCGCGCTCGGGCGGCGGGGCAGCCGGGCTCTCCAGGCTTGCTTGTTTTTTTTCCACCCTGACTCGTTACCCCAGACTCTTCGCAGATGTTAGTTCACAGTTTTTCAGCTATGGTGAGTCCCACCCCCACCCCTATCCCCGTTTCCTTAGGAATTCTCTTCCGGAAACCTGGTGCAGCGGAGCTGCCCGCAACCTCGGGTTTCGCGCCCAGGTTTCCTTTAGAGCACCCCCCCCTTTCAATGTGCATTTCTCTCTTGCCTCTTTTCTTTCGCTTTTTTTCATTCTTAAATCGAATGCATTACCCCCCCACCCACCCCCACCCCCACCCCCCGCCCCCGCTCGACCTCTCCCGGCGCGCAGACCTTACCTCGCCGCTACTTCCCCAGGCGTGTTCCTCGCCACGTTCATCCTTATTTCCTTGCGTCTTCACTTGTTCCTGAGATGTTCTCAAGGTTTGATGCTTAATCCATCCGCGGGGGAGGGGAAAACGCGGCCCGGGGTGTCCCCTACCCTCGGGGCCGGGGCTGAACCTCCGAGGGTTCGCACTCCCTGGAATCCACTCGGTTCGCTTGTTTTGCAAGCGAATTGCAGTAGAGGCACCTAAAGGCAGGCGTTTTCTTCTGCCCTTTGGGGCTGGGGTGCAAGGGGCGGGAGCCTCTGCCCCGGGGGTGCCCCTCTCCCTTTTAAACCCAATAAGGCTGAATCTTTCTATTTTAAACCTTGCCTTGCGGTCCTCCCCTCTCCCCATCCGTACCATAAATCGACCCTGTCGAGAACAGGCTCCTAACTGAGGAAGGGAAAAAGACAGAACCCCATCCTGCACTTAAAACCTTCTCTAAGCTGGTAATTTAAACGCGGGCTTTCGTTACAGCCCCTCTACGAAATGTTTCTATTTAAATAGTCATGAAATGGTAATAGTCTTTGAACGTGTGTGCTTTTTTACCACCCCCCCAACCTCCAAATAAATGGAACAAGGGTAAACAATAACGCAGTTGCTGGCAGGTTCAAATCCAGGGGAGAAAGAAAAGGCCGCTTCTGCTGATTAATATTTAGCAGGAATTTTAATTTTGCTAAAGGGAGGTTTCACGCTGCTTTTAACGGGCTGTGTTCTGGGAGGCCTTTTTCTATCTCTCCCCCCCACACACACCCTCCAACACACACACACACACTTAGAAAGAAACGCCTAAGCCGGAGCTTCTTGCGCCCTTACATTTGCACGATCTGATTCCCTGCGTTTTTGGAAGAGCCCCGATGCATTTGTGGGGTGTTTTTGGAAATGAGTAACTTAGAGCTGGTGTCTTTCGGCGGCCTGCCGACGGGAATGAGCGGTTTCCCACGCAGTCCTGGGGAGTGGGTTTAGAGTGGACAGCTGTAACTCGACGCCTGATTTCTTGTTCTCCCCCCCTTCTCTCTCTCTCTCTCTCTCTCTCTCTCTCTCTCTCTCCCTCTCTTAGGACCGCCACGACGGCACCAGCAACGGGACGGCGCGGTTGCCCCAGCTGGGCACTGTAGGTCAATCTCCCTACACGAGCGCCCCGCCGCTGTCCCACACCCCCAATGCTGACTTCCAGCCCCCTTACTTCCCCCCGCCCTACCAGCCTATCTACCCCCAGTCGCAAGATCCTTACTCCCACGTCAACGACCCCTACAGCCT